ACCCTACAATGAGAGACTGCGGGACCTGAACCTGTTCAGCCTTCACAAGACAAGGCTGAGGGAGGACCTGGTGACTGTCTGTAAACTCACTAGGGGGGACCAGAAGGGTTTGGGAGAGACCTTGTTTCCCCTAGCACCCCCTGGCATAACAAGGAATAATGGTCATAAATTGTTGGAGAGTAGGTTTAGATTAGACATCCATAAGAACTACTTCACAGTTAGGGTGGCTAGGATCTGGAACCAACTTCCAAGGGAAGTGGTGCTGGCTCCTACCCTGGGGGTCTTTAAGAAGAGGCTTGATGCCTTCCTGTCTGGAGTCATTTGAGCCCAGTTTTTCTCCTGCCCAGGCGGGAGGTCAGACTTAAAGATCTACAAGGTCCCTTCTGACCCTACTTTTATGATTCTATGAATAAGGAAAGGGTGAATCATTCACCCCTGCTACTACCCCCTCCCTGATGCACAATGGGGATTGTCCCATGACTCAGCCTGGCCGGGGCCCCATTCACTGTAACAGGAGCCCGAGGTGTGCCAGGTTATTGGACAATCGGAGGCCAGCAGCTCCTCTGGGAGCACAGGAAGGTGGCTGCATGCACCATGAGGAGCCAAGAAAGGAAGGAGAGTTCCACCCCGCTCCTGGCTGCCCCATGCCATGCCCCTATACAAACTGCCCATGGCTTGTCCAATTGTCCCACAACCATCATGGGGAATTGGGCCTCAGCCAGGCCAGGTCATGGGACAATTGGAGCCCCCCCATTTTTTTTTCTTCCTCCTCCTATACCTCTTGCCACCTCCCCCCACAGGCCCTGCACACCCCTAGGGACAGCTCTGGACATGCTCATTCACATTCTAATTAGAATTCTCCAGCATTGCCTCACTGTCCTGTGCATTAAATCCCCACATTTCAAAATGGCCGTGGGGATGCTCATTTAGAAATGCAGGAGAGGGGGGTTGGTACACATGAGAATAAGCCATTTTAATTAGAGTGGCTGTCCAGGAACTGCTCTAAAATGCCCCTTCCCCTGCCTACAACTTCTGAGCATGTATATAGGCAGCCTTAGGTTCTTGGTATAGAAAATGTCCTATTGCCTATTTGAAAGGAAGTTTCAAATTCCTTAGGTACCCACTTCCAGCATCACACTGGACAGTGATAAGCAGGGATTCTGTTTTTCTCTGAGAAAAAAAAAAAATCCCAATTTTTCAAAAATTAAAAATTACCCCAAATCCACATTTTTCCATTATTAGAATGAGCATGGGGTGGGGGGGAGTTATATCCAAAAATTTGGGATTTACTTTTTTATCAGAGAAAAACAGTATCCCTCGTGATAAGCTTAGATGATGAATATAGCTAAGGCAAGGTGGGTTTATTTGTAAACCTTAGTGTGTTAAGGAAGTTCATTGACTTTTATTAGTAGATGTTTAGGATCATGAACGCAAAAAAGATGACAAAGCTGGTAGGGAAATAATGATTGCCTGAGTGAGGGACTAAGAATAGAGGGATGGGAGTGAGGAGGGGAAACGCAACTAGGTTACAGAAGATACAATGTTAGCCAACTAAGCCCGGAGGTGGGGGGAGGGGGGAAGGGGAAAGGGGAGGGACGGGGTTCACGACACAGAGAGAAAGAAGATAGATACACACAAACCCATTATTATGGTCCGCAACAGTGGAGGAAGTGGCTCGAAGAAAGTTTCTCAGTCCATATAGAGTTTCATTGCAGGGGTCCTCTTCATGTGGAGCGGGGTTGTCCATTGCTGAAGAATCCTCTCGAAAGTGAGGGTCCATCTGGTGCGGGGGTGGGGGGGGACGGGTTCAGGCAGCCCCCTCTGGGTCCAGTCTGGTGGCAGTTTGTCTGGTGGGGTCGGAGTACTGGCAGTGGCCCATGATGTGTTCCACGTAGATGTTGTGGGGCCAACAGATGGTGTCAGATACCATGAGGCAGTACATCAACTTGGCGTAGCAGCGGGAGATGCAGCAGGCACTCAGGACGCTCTCGTTCCTGGGGTCCCAGGCTCCGAGTGTTCCCACGATGAGTGCATTGACCATCACGTCATAGCCACAGCCCCTCAGGATGTCGGCCAGCAGGGCATACTTCTCCCATTTGCGAGCCCGCGCATCAGTGAAGGCTTGGCACCGGTTCTCAAAGGGGATGGTTACATCCACGATCATGACCTTCTTGGCCTCTTTGTTAGTGATGACGATGTTGGGTCGCATCTGGCTCTCGCAGCCTGGGATGGTGCAGCTCATGGAAATCTCGCCCACTGCAGCCGGGATGGCCCTCACCAGGCAGTCCTGGACAGCATTGTGGTGGAGCTGCCAGGCTCTGGTGTGCGGCTTGCAGCTACACAGCATGTTGGGGAGGGTCTCTGCTGTGTAGCCGCACCATCAACACCTCTTGTCCCAGTGGCCGAAGTGGAAGGCCCCATTCAGAGGCAGGCAGTTGAGGCGGCTGCGGTGGAGGAAGCGTCAGTCCACAAAGTATGTGAAGCTCCTGCTGAGCATGAAGTGGTTGCTGGAGTCCCACTTTGAGGTGACGTTGAAGACCTTGCCCTGGTCAGGTCTGGCCCTCAGGTTGCTGGTGTACTTGTTTTGGACGGCGTCCTTCAGGAACCTCTCCAGAAAGGTCCATGTGTGGGGTGTCATGGTGACGCAGTCGACTTGGGGGCTGGTTGCAGGGAGACTCCCAGCTCCCAGCGCTCCTCAGTCAAAGTCCAGGTGCAGCCAGTGCATTTCCTGAGGTGGCGCGTGGCATTGCAGGCTCGGCTCCACAGCAAGGCAAAGTCCCTGCCATCTCTGAGCTACACTTACAAATTAGCTAGGTTACTGCGACTAGCCAAATAGTTCCTGGTATTGGTGGCTGCACATAGTAATGCAACATTTAGTTGTCTTGCACTCTGGGTCCCGCTCAAGGCTTTTAGTTTCTGTCTCAATGCACAACAAACTGAAAATATACATTACATGGGCTCATAGAACTCTATTTTTTCTTGCCAGGGAAGTGAGCTTGCACTGTCAAATAAGTAGGATTATCTTTATTTTTAGGTTTTCTCTTGTCTATCACACGTACATTTTTAATATAGTTATCTTCTGAATAATAAAACTCCAGTTACTTAGCTGAAAACTCTAATCACTCAATAGGAAAGTGTACACCCCAGATCAAATCTGTATATTTATGCCACTTTAAAGTAGGCTAAGGCCTTGGACTTCGTTGTTATTTGCTAATTTGTTTTAATTCATTCCATGGTATCTTTTGAATAATGAACACACAAGAAAAACTTTGCAGATTTTCTAGAACAATGTGTTAATGTTGTGTCTTTTAAATAATATTACCTTGCATGAAAGATTTTTCAGCAAAGGATTCCAGAGTAATACACAACAAACTGAAGGAAAAGGAGTGAGAATTCCAGCAAACAAAACTCTAAGTGTAAGGTATTTATCTGGGACCTACCTGAGATTCTAATGATATGTGCTATCTAAAACTTACTTCTTAGGCAGAATTTAAAGTAAAGCAAATTTGTTGAGACTCAGCGGGGCAAAATCTGTTAGTGAAATTGAGTCAAATTTGATTAATATATTCAGACAAAAAGGGGAGAGAAGAACAATTTCCTGTAAACATTTTGAAAACTAAATATTTCTTTTCAGGGCCAGAGTATTTTTTAATGTATTTTAAATACAGCTTTGTAGCTCTTTATTTCAAATCAGTATTTTCATTTAAAAGGCATGTGTGTGGGGGGGTTGTTTGTTTTTAGCAACGACTATTTGGAAAAGTTCAATAAAAAGAAACATCTTATATTAAGTTGAACAAAGCATTTCAGATTAATCTGAAACAATCTATACTATTACACGTGCTGCGTGCTGTCTCCGTTAGTATGAAGCCTCAGTGCGATAGATGACATTGTTGAGAGAGGGAGTTTCATGAGAAACCCTGACATTCATATTCTCATGCCTTGATCTGGGAAGATGCTGCATGGGGCAATGCTGCACAGGGCATACATATGCCTTGCTCATTCTTGGAAGACATCCCTGCTTAATGGCTGTCAAATGCATTAGCACAAAAGCTGTACTATAACCAGTAGGAGCAACACCAAATTGCGCAAGATTCACTGCTATGTATGCTTCCAGCTCAGTGACAAATGGTGGATGCAATCTTGAAAGCAGTGGAGAATCAAGAGCCATTTTGTGCATTTGTTGATGCATCTGGTGGTATGGGAAAAAACATTCTGCTCCAACATGATTCCTTCAGCAATGTACAGGGAAGGGAAGATTGCATTGGCTGTGGCATCCAGTGGAATTGCTGCTACCATGCTGACAGGGGGCAGGACTGTGCACTCAAGGTTCAAGGTACCTCTGAATGTGTTGAAAACCAGCACCTGCAGCATATCAGCACAGTCTGACCTTGCAGAGCTGATCTGAGAAGCAGCTATCATCATCTGGGATAAAGCACCAATGGTTCATCAGTACATGCTGAAGGCTGTAGAATGGACACTGTGAGATTTACTGCAGAACAATTTACCTTTTGGTGGCAAGGTGATAGTTCTTGGGGGTGATTTTCGGCAAATGCTGCCTGTTGTGAAAAATGCTTCATGGCCACCAATAGTAGAGGCATACTTGAAGTGATCTGAGTTGTGGAACCACTTCCAGATTTTTCAACTTCGTGAGAACATGTGAATACGTAAGGGAGGTTTTGATGCACAAAGTAAAAAAATACACTTAATGGCTTTAGGATCTGGGAAATGGCCAAGTTCCAAATATTGACAAAATCATTACCCTGCCTCCTGAGCTCTGCATGCCTCTGGATCTCTTAGCAATGATAGAATGGACATTTCCAAATCTATTGGATAAGTATCAAAATCCAGGATGTACGTCTGAAAGAGCTGTTTTGGCGCTGCATTGTACAGGAGATCAACAATGCTATTGTGGCAAAATTTCCAGGCCAAGAATGGATTTGTACAAGTGCAGATGCTCTTTCAGAGGATGCAAGCATTATGGCTGTGTCAACTGAGTACCTGAATTCCATGGAGGTGTCAGGTTTGCTTCCACATCAGCTCCACCTTAAGCCTGGGATGTTCATCATGCTTCTGCAAAACCTTGCCCCTAAGGATGGTCTGTGCAATGGAACGTGGCTGTTGGTACAATCCGTCATCAACAGCAGACTACTTAATGCAAAAATTGTTGGATCAGAAAGAACGGTACTAATTCCTCGGATAGCACTGAAGCTGTCTGACAACACATTTCCATTCACATGGACACATCAGCAGTTCCCTGTGCAGGTGGCATTCAGCATGACCATCAATAAAGCCCAGGGGCAAACATTAAAAAAAGTAGGAATGTCCCTTTAGGATCCTGTCTTCACCCATGGACAACTAAATGTGACTGCTTCCAGAATCCCCCACCCAGAAAACATCTGATTTGCAATGACTGCTGACTTGAGTAATGAAACCAGGAATGTTGTGTATACGGAAGTGTTGCAAAGCTCTTACAATAAGAACGTGTGATATGTTTCAGGATTTTGTATACGCGGAAGTGTTGTGAAGCTGTTGAAGTGCAATAAAATGTGATCTCAAGCAAAAATTGGTTCACTGGATTTTCATGCAAGCAATGCTGCACATGGCATTTAGTATGTTTTATTTGTGTTTTGCTGAAAGTAGTTGAAACAGTTCTCTTTCTGTTAGAACAATACTTTGTTGTTTTTCTTTCATGTATTGAAGATTGACAAACGTGATTTGTCGATCTCCAAATTATGTAGACAGAATAAAAATGGATTACTAGTTTTACTATTGATAAAACTGCCTATTAGAAGCCACAAGTAGTCATTTTCAAGTGGTCATCCCAAGTTTACATCTTGGTCAATCAATGGTAATCCCAGCCACTCTGTCTCTCAATGCTAACTGCACAAATAGATTTTGTATTAACTAAAATAACAAAATGTTACCTTCTGGGTCATGTTAGTATACTCTGCCAGCCAGTTTATAACTAACACTTGTTTCTGGAACATGTGTAAAATCTGTGAGGTGATATGAACTCTCTGTTCCACTGACTATAGCAATTCATAGAATTAACCACTACGAAGCATTATTGCCTTTTTGGTGGAATTTTCTGACAAGGGTAGGTATAAATCTTTAACACATTTTTTTCACTTTTCCTACAGATGCTTTTGCATCTGCAGACACAGTTATCATTTGTGTGGTTTCAGTCATGGTAACAGCTGTCTGTCTTTGAAAATTAGTTTTGCTTCTGAATCTGAATGATAGGAATCATTCTCTAACCCTCTAATCCTCTATAGTTAAACCAGTTGAAAGGCTTGGGATGTTTGTTTCCTAATCACTAATAAGTTTTCTATTTATTGAAAACTTTTCATAAATCAATAGAACTTTGAATTGCTTAATTTTCCAGGTCTTCCATTAAAATACACAAAGCTAGAAACCTTTGCTACCTAGAGTCCTTACAATAAATTTACAATCTAATTTGAACCCTAAAACAATAAGTAGCCTTTCCATCTCTGCAAGAATAGTTAAATCTAACAAATGTATACTAGACTTTAAAAAAAGTTTAGCTAAAATCCATTTTATGTGTTATTTATGAAGGAAAGTCTATAGTGTCAAAAGTCATTAAAAAGCCAGACAGACACTGAATGTAATGATACTAAAGAGCAGGGTAATGCTACACCCCCAGGAATAGTTGAAGAGAAGCTGTATAAATCTTGGAACTACATATTTTCCCCCACCTTGTTTCCATGGGGTAATAATTCCTAATTATGCACACTGGTATCAGAATTTTCCCTCTGTATTGCCTGGCGTGTTGGGGTGGAAAGTGAGCACCAAATTACATTTACTTTATCCTTCTCTCTTCTCTCTGCATGTCTGTGCTAGATGATAGGAGAGCAGCAGCCCGTTGAGCATGCTCTGATACTCCCTGCCATAGGCAAATGAAGAAAGGTAACAGGAGCGCATTATGCTCCCTTGCTTCTCTATTTATGCTCCTAGCCATATTTCCATTTTCATGTTCACAACACTCCCTACCTACCATATTTAATAAAGCTAGAAATTCTAAATACTTATTTAGTATTTTGTACTACAGTGGAAGGCTCCACTGAAATACCACTTATGTTTCCACATTTTCTGTGGTGCCCTCAAGATAATATGTATGTAAACTGAATAAAATAAATTACACAGCAAAACATAATGATACAATTTTTATTCAGGTTACACTTCTAAAATCACTAGACATAATATTAACATTCATCTGAAAAATAATAAAAAGCCAATGTTATTGTTTCCACCAAGAGGATTATGCTTTATTTTTAAAATTATATTAATGAAACATGATTGGCTTCCAAATCATCTACAAAAAAGAAAAATAGGAATATAATGAGAACTGATAATAGTTCATATTGGATGCTCATAAATTGTATATATAGGGATGATTTTTCCATCTTTATGCTATCCTATGAAGTCTGAAATTGATATAACAACTACATGATTATTATTTTTGGCTAAGTGAAGTATAAGGCTTAATGTTCAGCTTAATATAGTTTCTCTGTCTGTTGATAATCAGATGTCTTTTATGCAATGACTTCCCAAATTTTAGGCCATCACAGGAAAAAAACCATACTGCTGACTTGTTGATTTGCCTGTGGTATCACTGAGAATCATGCTAGAGATGTCTGGCATTGAAAAGGGGAGGACAAAGGGATTCTAGCAAGAAGAGGAAGAAAAAATGAGAATGCACACAAGGAGCCTGGCAAATGGGGAAGAATGGGACAACTTGGTGGGGGTGGAGGTGGAGGGGATGGAGAAGAAAGCACCTACTATAGTCATCAGCAGGGATCCTGGTTTTCTCTGATTTTAAAAAAATCCCAAATTTTCAGTTAAAAAAAACCAAAACCCAAATCCACATTTTTTTTTATTACAATGAAACAATGAAATATATATTGTTTAATAGTTTCATAGTTTCTAGGGTCGTAAGGGACCTGAACAGATCATCAGGTCTTGGAGGCTGTCAGTTTATGGATCTCTCCCCTGCTGCCCTCCCCACAGGGGCCTCTGGAGCCCGGTGGGTAGGACCCAGCATGACAGGGCATGCTGGAGCAGGGAAGCATGGTGCCATTGCCAGGAGTCTTGCACTGCCATAATGAGGCACCCCTCGCCTGCCTGGCAGCAGTGGGGGTGGCGGCACAGAGTTGTGCCTGCTGCTGCCAGAAAGACAGAGAACTACTTGCCATGACCAGGGATGCTGGGTTTTTTTGATTAAAAAACCCAAAACCTTATTTTTGGATTTAAAAAGTAAGCCAAACTCCACATTTTTCTGTGATTAAGATGATATACCACTAATATATATAGTGTGCCCCACTAATATATATAGTGATTCATTGTGATCACATTTTTCTATATATTAGTGGTGTATCACCACTCAAGTTTCCCCTAGACCCAGGTCTCCCTTTCCTCCCTACCCCCAACTCCAGCCTGTCCTTCCCCCCTGACGCCTCCATTTCTATTTTCACCGACTGGCTTTCTTGCCTGCATTGCGAGCCAGGCCAGCCTCTGGCTTCCTTACTATGCCTTCCATCCAGGACCAACTGCAGGAACTTCCTCAGCCTGACAAAGGGGTTTTCAACCCTAAAGCTTCCAAAGATACATTTTTTTTAAGTACTCCTTTTTTTGCATAATACACAGATAGACATAAAAACACAAGATAAGCCATCACACACCATGAATAACATTATATGTTCAACACAACACAACATCTTTACTTCTAGCTGTCAATTCCTTTATAAAATGACAGGCTCTGTGACAGGTCCATGTGGGTACCTTTGATGTTGCTGCTGATGCTACTGGTGTTGAGCCACCTAAGTTATTGTACCTGTTGTCACGTAAAGCAGAGGACCGGGCATGAGGCTGTAGGGGAGGAGGAGGCCTCAGTGGGGCACACTGCCATGTTGTGCAGATGCCCCAGCACCAGGAAGGACACTCACAGTGTCACCCACCCACATCACGAGTTTTGTCTGTCAGCAGCTTGGGGTGCAAGACCCCAAACGATAGACTTCCCCAGCGAGACATACAGCCAGCAGGCAGACTTTGTGGCCTGGTGGGGCCCAGCACTCACTCAGGCCTGTTCTAGGAAACACAAAGATGGCAGGCTTTTTGGCCTCGGCAACAGCTACCACCCCTGCAGTTTTCAGTCCGCTATGCCTTAACACACACAGGGTCATTTGTGTCACAGGTTTTGCCTGTCAGCAGCTTGGGGTGCAGTTCCCCCCGCCAACCCCTGCACCAATCTTCTTGAAACTTGGCAGGCTTTGTGACCTTGGCAGGATCTACCACCTCAGTAAGTACTACCATGCCTACTGTTTTTAGCCACCTGTGGTGTAACACACAGCCGTGACATGAGTTTGGCTTTTAAGAAATTGGGGTACAGTTCCCTCCAAACCCCTGCACTGATCTTCTTGAAGCATGGCAGGTTTAATGTTCTTAGCAGATTCTAGCATTCCTGCATGTTTCATCCAAATCATACAAAAAACAACAAAGTTATAGATCTTCCATTGATTCCCCATTATATCCTACGGCTAGATCTCTGAGGCAGGTCCGAAAGCTTTGGGGCGACTTCAGCTGGATTGAGGTGGACACCTGGTCCAGAGCTCCAGATTGGATCGCGGCCATCCGAAGCGGCCGGATCTGAAGCCAGATCAAATTGCTGCTGACTCGCACAGCCCTGCCACACATGCAGGAGGTTATTGAGAGCAGATAAAAGGGGCATGTGGGGTGTCAAGTCCTTACTGTTGAAGGGGACTCTATAGTGTACACTATATTGCAGTATGATGTTGTTCTATTTCTTCTATGCTGTCCCTTTGCCCCTTGTCCTCACTTCCAACAAAGTCAGGGCAAACCTGCTTGTATGTTATGAAAGGGGTGGGTGAGGCTGAATTTTGCCATGAGAAAAGAGCAGAGGTGGGTTTGGGTGTGACAAAGGTGGTTTGTAGTTTTTTTTTGGCAAAGGGCAGGGTGTTTTGATGACCTTGCAGCCTGCAAATAAAGTGGTTAGCAAAAGGGATTACTGTATCTTCTGCAAAAGCAGAGTGGAGGGTGGCCATCCATTAATTGTCATGGACACTTGAAGTGGACATGAATGAGGTGTGAATGAATACTGACTTTTCAGATGCATCTACCCGAAGTGGCCAAACAGGTCTAGGCCTGTCATTTATACAGAAATTGCATTGGCGTAATAAGTTGCCTGATCTTATTCCTGACCAAGTGTTTTTGCCTGATCTTATGGCTGACCTTATGCCTGATCTTATGCCTGACCAAAAGTTTTTCCATATGGGGTAACAATTTACCCCAAGCCCATGTTAAGGCACTGGAGTAACAAGTTATCCCAATATGTTAACATGGGCTTGGGGTAAATTGTTACCCCATATGGAAAAACACATTCACACCTGGGGTAACATGTTACCCTGGGCAGTTTTGCATCCACAGAGAGCAAACCATTCATGTAAACTGGCTGTTCTTTGGGGATATTGTGCACTGCAGTGCCAGTGGCAATGTCTTAAAAATATTTTTTTTTAGAATTAATTAACTTTAAGATACTGCACAAAATATGTGTCTGGGGTAAGACATTTCTTTCTTATGACACCACAAATCTCTCTCCTTTGACTGCCCAGGGGGCCACCTTTAGAGAGAGGGCGGGATAATGCCTAACCTGTGGTTTGGTGGTTCAAGCATTTTGCTGAGAAGTCAGAAAGATATAGATTCATACTCTCAAGCCAAGGGGCTCTGGAAACTGGGTTCTCATTTTGCGTAAATGCCCCAGCCAGCTTCTGGGGCTAAAATATTGGAGAGCCCACATTATCCAGAGTCTAACATGCATTGGTTGTGGGTTTCTGGCTAACTGTTTTCTTATGACTTAGACACACTTACATGTCTGACTATTAAGTGTGTTGTCTTGCATGCATGCTTAGTCTGTGTGTGCCTGCTTATGTGTCTACAGCACAAAAATCACAGCTTACTCATAAGTGTCCAAACCCCATGCATGCAGCTAGAAAGTTTCCACCAAGTTGCAGAAATAGAAATACAAATTGCATAAATACAAACAAAAAAGAATATGTAGATTTTGACATCTATTTAGTGGGTTAAATAGCATTTTATAAAGGATCTGCAGTACAGATGGATGATCAAAAAGTAGGGTTTCTGGTTCCATGGGAATTTTTTTTATTTGATTTGTTTTCTTTTTTTCCAAATTTGAATGCAGTCTGATTTAGATTACAACTAGACATTTTTTAATTGCCCAGAAACTAGAATCTGCCCACATCCTGCAGCTTCTCAGTAAAACTGATCCATCAATGCCAAGAATTTCACTTTCACTGAGCAGTTGCAGGTTCTTCCAATTCTACCCTAGGTCTAAGATGGACCTTCCAAGTAGAGTGCCATGGATTCAAGGTTCACATCTCCAGGGTAGACCACAAAGCTGTGGATCCTGGAAACACCAGGCAACAAGCCAAGGTCCTGTCATACCCTGAACAAAACATTTCAAGTTTAACAAACTGATGTTTAACAAACTGATCTGATAAATATTGTTTCACTGGAAAATTTATGATCAGGTCTGGTCTTCCTGGGAGGCTTAGAATTTGAAACATCTGTGTGCTGATCAGAACACTGGAGGCTTAGAAGCACATAAGGCCTATAACATATTAGAGGAGGAATTGGCATGTGCCAGCCCCAGTCACCAATTTAGAGGCAGTGCCACACTAGAAATCCCCCAGGAATATAGCAATGGGGCTGCTGCAGCTGCTCTGTCCCCCCAGCTGCAGCATCTGAAGCCCAGTACCATAGCAGCAACAGCTGAAGTATAAGGAGTCTGAGGCCTGGCAGGTAATTCCAATACCACCCCCCATCTCCTACTAGCACTGCCCTTCTCAAGAAGTCAGCATAATATTCCTCCATCCCCCACCCCACCCACCCC